GGCCAGTGGCGACCACGGAGCCCAGAGCCGCCCGCGGAGGAGGGGCCCGCGGCGGCCACACCCCGGAGGGCCCGCCACCCAACCCGCGGGCCGGACGCAGCCCAGGCCTCTGTCCACGCCCCGGGTTTGCCAGAGGCTCGGGGGCAGGAAGCGATCGCTCACACTGGCACGTCCAAGTCCATCTTTCTCTCTCTCTCTCTCTCTCTCTCTCTCTCTCTCTCTCTCTCTCTCTCTCTCTCTCTCTCTCTCTCTCCTTGCACCCACCAGTCCGCTCCTTCCTACCCGTGAAACCCAGTTTTCGCCTCCCCTCTCCTCCACTGGAGCCCTGGTTCGAGCCCCGCGCCTTCCTCCTTCCCAGCGGCAGCCTCCCGGCGGGCCTCCACCCAACCCCTCCCCGCACGAGCCTCCCTCCCCAACGCCCTCCGAGTCCGTCCCGCTTGGAGGATGGTGTGCCAACCGCTGAGCAGCCAGCCCATGCTCTCCACAGTGTGCCCGGCTCCTCTGCCTGTCTCCCCCACCTTCCCAGCCCCGACAGCTGCTCTGTTCCCCCCAGAGATGAAGATCTGCCCCTGCCTCGCGTAAGTGTGCGGTCAGCTGCCCACTTCAGCGGGGACACGCCCTCGACCAGACTCCAGACTCCTGGGAATCAGGCCTGTCCTCCATCTGCAGACAGTCCGCTCCTCTCCCCGCCCTTTGGGGTGTGTGTGTGTACACCCCTCACCAGTTCTTGACACCCGCCCAGCAGTGACCACACCTGAAATGGTCAGAGCCCTGTGTCCTGTCCGCAGGCCAGTGAGTGACTTTGACCAGGGAACGGCGTTATCACCCTGTGGCCTGAGCGCTGTTCTGTTAGGTGAGCTGTTTGCCCTGGTCCAGGCACTAACACCTCCTTTGGGACAGTAACAACCTCTTCCCACCACTCCTTTCCTTCCTGGAACCGAGTCCCTGGACAACCCCAGGGGCATAGCCTTAGCACCATCACCGGCCCCACTCACCCACTTGAACTTTTTTTCAGCTTTATTGAGGCATATTTGATAAGTAAAAATTGTATATTTAAGACATACAATTAGATGTTCTGATATACACACAGGGGTGGGAAAATGTAGGTTTACAGTTGTTCATATGGAAAAAGACATGCAGGTTATAATTATTCCAATAATTATTACAAAAATTAACTTTTGTGTACTCACAACTGCAAACCTGCTTTTGCCCATCCCTGTATATCTTGTGAAATGATCCCCGCCAACATAACCATCATTTCAGTTACCATTTTTTTTCTTTTTTTGGTGTGTAGTGAGAACATGTAAGATCTACTCTCTTAGCAAATTACAGCATACAGTATTATTAACTACTAGAGGCCTGGTGCATGAATTCGTGCAAGGAGTGGAGTCCTCCCACCAGCCCCCATGGGGCTGATCTGGGGAGGGGCTGGTTGGGGGAGGGGCCGTGAGCGGTTGGCCAGCCAGCCCCACCCCCTGGTCGAACTCCCTGTGGAGGGGCCAATTTGCATATTAGCCTTTTATTATATAGGATAATCACAGCACTGTACATGAGATCTCCAGTGTGGACTTTCAAATAAAAGATAAGTAAACTTCCATCTTATCTCTGTTGAAGAGTCAAATCAGTGTTCTAACAAATCAAAGCTATTTACAAGACTTACGCTTCTTTTGAGGCCATCCCAGGGACCCAGGCCCACCATCTGCCTAGCTTTTCTGTTTCGGTGTAGTTTCAACTTCTGCCACTCCCCATCCACTCAATCTCTGAGAGCCTCTCAAAGGCAGAAAGGATGCCTTTTATTTCCAATGAGTCCGCTGCCCTCAGGAGAGTCTTGGCAACTGTGGGGTTCAAAATGAGTTACCCCAGGATGTGCCTCTGAGGTATGTGGATAGTTTTGAGCCAAAGGCAACTTTACCTGCGGGCTCCAGAGAAACTTCTGCCTCTCCTTAACTGTGTAGCGCTAAATTAAAGGCCTTGTCCATAAGACATAGCGATAACCTCATTGAACCTACCTGTTCGGCAGGACAAACTACTGATTCCTGAACATGCTCTCCCTGCAGTGACCTGAAGCCCCAAGGTGCCTCACCTTAGCCCTAGCTAAGAAGGTGGTATACGCCTATTTTCCTTCCTGTCTTTGAACCTCATACATGTGGGCTCTCTGACTCTGTCATACGGATGTAATTACATTTGGTTATTTCCTCTTCTTAAACTGTCCCGTGTCTATTTGATTAGAGCAGCCAAAAGAACCTTGAGGGTAGAGGGAAGTTCCTTCCTCCCCCACACAACCTAGCAGATCCTCCGCACCTGCCCGTTGACTGGCTCAGTGACAAGAGTGGGTGGGATGCAGGGGGGAAAGGGACAGGCAAAGATCATGTGTGTGTATGTGTGACCTCTCAGGCCAATATAAATAATTTATTAGTATTTATACTCTATTAGCTCAGGTTAGCCAGAGGATGTGAAAAGAAAAAAAAGAATACAAAGCAATACAGCAACACAAAGTAACCAACGCGATGAATCCTAGTTAGGGTGAAACATTTTAATCTGACGGTAGCATATAACACTGTACAGGGAACACGCGCAGCTCCAAGAGTGTCCCTCCAGATTAGAAGGAGGTTCTCAGAGATAAGTAGATCAGCTACAGTCTGGTCCCCTGCCGTGGGAGGGAGAGGAAATGGAGTGGGGAAAGCACTGTCGGCGGCTTTCACGTCACTCGTAGATCCAGTTCTGAGCACAGCTCTTGTAATCTACCAGTTCCTCGGGCCGAAACCACAAGCCAATCTCCTTCTCCGCACTCTCCACGGAGTCACTGCCATGGATGATGTTCCTGGAGGGGAAGAGATGGCCACATTACCAAGACCACAAGGTTGAGCTGCCCAGAAGCCCCTCACTCCCAGTGCCAGAAAGCCCACCGCAGCAGAAAAAGCCAAGGCTCATGTCACTAGCTCACGTTAAAAGAAAAAGCCCATGACTACCATTAATGTAGGATGAAGACTGCCCCGCTAGCAACATGGATGCTAGCAGCGAGAGCCTTCGGGAAGGACTGTAGCCAGCAAAGTGTTGTACCAGGTTTTACCCTCCCATCAGAGGCACAACCACAGTGATGTTGACATATAGAGAGAGAGCCTATAAAGCCAAACACCAACTTAAGAGAGAGAAAAACTGAACTGATTTTAAATGTTCTGCGTAGGGTATCATGTACATTGCTAGCTACAAGAACCCTAATTATATGGCAACTCAGATTTTGGAAAAGGGTAAAAAGCACCAACTCCCACCTGCCAACTTGGATACAAAAGTCCCCTCGGATGGTCCCAGGTTTGGAGTCTGCTGGGTTGGTCTCCCCAAGCATCACTCGGCCTGTCTTCACAACATTCAGCCCCTCCCAGACCTTCAAAGACAAAAGAAGATATGGTCAAGGAAGAAAACCCATCTCAGCAGGAAATCAGCAAACTATTACTTCAAAAGAAAGGTAAAAAGCCCCCGTAATCTGACATTCATTCATTAAGCAAATTACAGTGGGGGCTTGACTTACGAGTGTCCCGACTAACGAGTTTTTCGAGATACGAGCCATCTCTCGGCCAATTTTTTGCTTTGAGTTGCGAGCTAAAATTCGGGTTACGAGCCAGCTTCAGATACCCCACCGCTAGTTGGTGCAGCGAACATCACAGTGAACGCCACAACATCACGTGTCTCATTCATTCACTTTATGATTTGACATACGAGTAATTTGAGTTACGAGCTCCATCACAGAATGAATTAAACTCGTAAGTCAAGGCCCCACTGTATATATATATATGGAGAGAGAGAGAGAGAGAGAAAGAGAGAGAGGTTTCTTCATTACCTGCCCATCCCCTTTCAAGTTGTGTAGGCAAGGAAAGCTATGAAAACACTCCTACTTTGTCTCATTCATGACTGCATCCCCAGTGTCTGGGAAAGAGCCTGGCAGAATGATGACTACCAATACATATTTGGAGAATTTCTGTGTTAAGTCCTGCCCTCCAGAAGCCTATAATCAGGCAGTCCCCTCTCGATCTCTCCCACTATGAGTCTTCACTTCAGCAAGCAAATGTATCTTGTCTTTAGTGGATCAGAGAGCTGACTCATATCTTAACTGTCAGTCCTCTCAGCCCCAGTTTCCTCTGCATCAATGAGGACCTGGCATCAGAAGCAAGAATCACGGCACTCACTCTTCACTCTCAACTGAGTCATTCATATCAACACCCCACACGTGCACACTCACCATGGCAACCACTGGCCCTGAGTGCATGTATTTCACCAGGCCCGTGAAGAATGGGCGGTCCTTCAGGTCGATGTAGTGTTCCTTGAGAAGGTCTTCCGAAGCCTATTCCGCAAGACAGAGAATGAGAATTGGCCCCCAAAACTATGAACCAGTGGCTACTTCCCACTCACCCATCCTGCAGTTTCAAACATGAGCTCTCAGCTCATTAATTCTGTTATAACCCAATTCATTCTCAGCAATACCAGAGGGGAGCAGTGACCAGGACTAAAAGTGCTTCAGCGTTGTTCAATTCTCCCCCTATTGTCCTTGACAGATCAGAATAAAACTACAGAATATTAGATTCATATCCAGCCATCTCATTTTAGACAAAATCTGACAATGCGAATTTTCCCTCACCTCCCTTCTCCACATCAGATTCAGATAACCCAGGAGACTCATGGCAGCTACGCCTCCTCCTACTCTTCACCAAGCCCGTACCCTTATTAGGAAACTGGACAGGAGAAAATATATGCATATTAGGAGTCAGAGAAGCCCGAGTTAAATTCCAGCTGCATCACT